TCAAAATAAGATTCACATTAAAAATATTATATTCGAACGTCTATGTATGAAAGTAAAGAATAATATCGAAATTCTTAGAAGAAGAAAAAGCTTAGATCCATATTCACATCTTATTTTTATAATAAATTTGCATTTACTGCATTTAGTACATAATTTGTATTACATATACTATTAAAATCTCAGAAATAAAAATTTGTAATTTTTTTTGTCGATAAAAATGAGATGGTAATAGACGTTAAATTACAAAAAAAAATCAAAGATGTACATAGCATCATTTGCATGATATCTCAAGAGTAAAATATTTGTATTGAACTTTGTATTAATTATTCTACAATTTTTATTCAATTAAAATAATGATATTCATTATTTCTTTATTCGAATCTATGAATAACAATTGATGAATAACATGTTTTTTATTACATTTTTATTACAAATAGTTATTAAATACTTTTTTAACTATAAAGAAATCTGCATTTGCAAGCAAAATCAGTCTACATTTGTAAACGAATGGCTTGAAGGCTGAAAATGAAATATGATTTGACACTGAAATATATCTGGTTATATCTCTTGCTTAGAAATGCCTCTTTCTTTTCATGTATCACGACATTTTCGTCGTAGAGTCCAAGACTCAGGTGCGTCGACATTTAATTTGAAACGCTTCCGCTGTGGAACATACGGTGCTAATCGCCAAAAGTCGAAATGCGCTTTATTCGCCGCGGAGGGTAGGAAACCAGACGGGATATTATTAAAGAGCGTCGTCTGCGAAACTGACGACGGGAGCGAGCGTGATAATACTTGGTAGCACGCCATACGCGGACGGATGGCGCGTCGTCGCGGAAAATAGTGGACCCGAACCTGAAACCCTGCAATATGCTACCACGCCAGCCAGGTACTCCGCCTGATTACCAAGCAGCACGTGCCGCGAGATATAATGCCGTCTCCATTTGCCAAGTAGCCGGCGATATAATGTCGCGAAATCGCTTCGTCGTTAATTCATCGTCCGCAGTCACGTAAGCGCCGCGTCAGGGATTTCCGTAAGGGAGTATATATTGTAGATATGTCGGAATATCGGGAATACGTTATTTATTGATTTCAACAATATCACAAATTTTTCACGAATTTCATAGATATATATTTTACAATTTGAAGCATTACAATATACCATTGTAGCGTAAAAACATTAAGAGCTAAAATAAATAAATAAATTGAATACTATTATTATGCTTAGATGAATGCTTAAAGAATGCTTAAAACTTGATTATTCATACACAATAGATTTTGTTGACGACAGAGTCAAAAAACTAAATAAAACTTTTTTCGCAGTAAAAGTGTCGTTTTAATTAAATATTAATTTAATTAATTTACAACATATATATCAGAATAGAAAAAAAAATTGGAAAAAATATTTCTTTTTCGATTTTGAGAGTTAGTATATATTATTTAAGAAATTTATCAATTCTAAAGAGAATATTTTTTTATTTATTTTATTCAACTTTTATTTTATTTTTTTATGTAGCAGTATTCAGCATATTTATTTAATTCATATATTCATTATCTATAATTATGTTTTATATTATAATACACACCCAGCAAACACAAATACATCTCAAACTCGTAACTCATACATAATCTTAATTTACATAATCTTAATTTTTTTCGTAACAATGTCAAAAATCATTACGTGAATTTGCGGAGAATTTTCTCAAATTTGTCATCCCATTTTACCTATAACAGTTACATAATAATATATGATTTAAATACAATGGTAACAGGATTGACATAAAACAATTACGTATTGAGATGAAATGCATATATAACATTTACGCAATTTGTCCTATGATATCACAAATGAGTGAAATTGTTATTTATTTGTTACTTATTGACATCGATTCAATTTCCTTGATTTGAAGAAGTTTTTTGGTTATTTCTTGCTATTAGAATTAAAAAATTAATCTATGTAGTTTTGCAATTCTTTTTTTTAAATGAAAGAAATATATTTTTTATATGTAATAAGAAATTTTCTTAAATAAAAACTATTTTTTTATAATAAAAAGATTACGGTTATATCTTAACGAAAAAAATAATTTTTTGTTATTATTTACTTTTGGTTTTTTCAGTTTAATTTATTATTTACTGTTTCGTATACCTATAATTCTTGTCTTTTTACTACAATTAATTATTGAAAAATGCATTGTATCGCCACCAAGATTTGAACTTAAGATCTCTAGAACAATAATCTAATACACTTACGCTGAGCTAATCGCACGCTTGTGAGCGAGCCTTTGCCAATATTACTTATATCTCCTTGTAACCATTCCTTATGTTAATTTCATGTTTCTGCTGACAATTTAATATTATTAATATTTGAAGAGAT